AATAGATTTCACATTTCATAAAACTAGTTTAAAATTCACAGTTTTTTAACACACTGTGTTTGTGTATTAATAACAAAACCAAAAGAAAAATTAGTAAATCATTTAGACCAAACTCTTAGTCGACAGAAGCTCGTGCTACGACATTTACCTCCTTCATGTCTGATAGGAGTTTTTTAACGAAAGAGGGCGCTTCAATAAAACATTCAATCAACTGATTTAAAAACTGGTACTTTTTCCCGCTTAAGAGAGATGTTGAATTTTCTTGTAGATGTGCCAGTATAATGTAAATATCACTCAAATTTATACTTTCTAAATATTCAAGGCTAATTTGTCTTAGTCAAACATTTTAATTGTACAATGGGAGTATTCGTTTGTTGACAAGCACAAAGTTACATGATGGGCTGACTCTTGTGTATCAAAACTCGATCGTTACCACTGATCCAGCATGGAGTTGGCGGAATGGATGTACTATATTAAAACTGAAACCAAAACCAAAGTTTTTGAAGCAGATTGTTTGTTTCTAATTAAGCACAAAGTTACACAATGGGCTATATGTGTTCTGCCCACCACGGGTATCGCAACCCGGATTCTAGCGTTGTAAGTCCGCAGACATACCACTGTGCCACTGGGGGGCGTTTGAAGCAGTGTATCAACTTGGACAGTATGTGCAAAGGGACGATGAATTAAATCAATAAAATATTCTATAATCAGTGTAATTGATAACAATTAATCACACCAGAAGAAAAAAAAAAGATTAGTTTTAATTCGTCAAAAATTACACACAAAAATAATTCAATTTATAAGTTCTATAAATAGTCTGATGTTTGGGAAAGAAACAAATCCGGTTTCTATTTTAAATAATCTACTATCATGCCAGTCAGTGACAATGCCAAAATATCATTACACATAGTAATTAAAACTAATTAAGACGTGTTCTTTGTACATGTTCAATATGATAGCTTTTCATCAGGATCTTCAATTGGATTTCTTCCCCATCTCGAACATCCTTCCAAGGCTGTTAACAAAACACATTAAAAAATATATGAAGTTGTTATATATATATATATAATATATGATAAAATCACAGTGACTAAATTAAAAATAACTTCCAAGAACGCAGGAACTTCATAAGAAAACATTATATATCATTCCTGATAAATGAGAGTGTTAAGGAGATGATCTTTTTGCTTCTTCTCTGAGTTACTATCAGTTAAACCTTTTTCGTGAATTGATTATTCAGACAATTTCTCTCTTAAGTTGATGATAAAGTTATGATAATATTCGGTTTCTATTTTCAACATCGTTTATATTAGGTTTGTTTGTTTGAATTTATACACAAACCTACACAATGGGCTATCTGTGCTCCGCCCACCACGGGTATCGAAACCCGGTTTCTAGCGTTGTAAGTCCGCAGACATACCGCTGTGCCACTAGGGGGCATTTATATTAGGATAGCAGAGAAAAGAATATACATGGTCTTTTTTTTTCTCTTTGTAATTAAGCGAAATTAGATAGTATTTAAAGTGGAAAAATAAGTGTGTACTTGCCTTGTCTTTTTAAAATACACACGGCAGCTGTTCAAACTGCATCTTAAAACCTCTATTCTTGTTTGCTTCAGTTTCCATGTCGTCCGTTACAAACCGTAAAAAGAAGGGGAGTGAAGGACCTTAAAAGTAAGAATTGATTTTATTTAGCAACCTTAATAAACAACTAGAAATCATATTCTGCTGGAAGAAAAAAAAAATACGTTTAACATTTTTGCCTTTAGCTGACGTGAAAGAATTAAAGAATTACTGTTAAGTTATTGAAATAAAGGCATTAAATAGCAAATTGTGAAAGAAAGTCAAGTGCCTAAAATTGAAAGTAAAAGGAGTACATCATGGTTAGTTAACCCTAGGACGCCAACACAACTCGATACTGTTAGCCAAGTTTAGTAATTCAACACAGTTAGATACTCTCATCCATGTTTAATAATTCAACACAGTTAGATACTGTCAGCCAAGTTTGATAATTCAACACAGTTAGATACTCTCATCCATGTTTAATAATTCAACACAGTTAGATACTGTCAGCCAAGTTTGATAATTCAACACAGTTAGATACTCATAACCAAGTTTGATAATTCAACACAGTTAGATAC